TATCTTACAATGAACGGGGCAGCTCAGTAGCTAGAAATGGTGTTTCGCACTAGCATAGACTGCAGGATCAAGCTTCGCTTCAGAACAGAGCAGTCAAACAGACGTGCTCTCGCTGCGAGGGTCCAGGGGTATTTTCACGAGGCATCTACCAGTCCAGTAGTTGAAGGGAGAAGGTAAAGGAGGAGGGATCAGAGAAGGAAGGAAGGAAAAGAAGGAAGGAGGAAGAAAAGGAAAGAGAAGAGAAGCTTCCCGGCTGACAAGTGCCCTGAGACGCAGTGAAGAGTAGCATCTTGGGGCAAGTTAGCATTTTGGTGCAAGTTCGATCACGGTGGTCTCAACTTTGTTCAAAGACTTCTCCAAAGCCTCAAAATGTTAGGAGCGCACCATTTCTGTGAACTTCATTTTTATATTGGACAGCACTTAGCACTGAAAGGTGCGAAGAAACGACTGAAGTCAGGGGATCGGCTCAAGTCTAGAGGGAGCAGCTCCGGAGTGAGTGAACCAACCCTCTGATGCAGGCTATTCCCAATTAATACCCTGTTTAGAAATAGGTGGATATTGGATTCCTGAATCTTCTTGGAACAGCTGTGACGCACCAGTATATGAAAATGGATCCACAGGACATAGGTTCCTGGACCTTGTCCCTTCAATCGTGTTAAGTTCCTGCTTTTCTCTGCGCTCTTCCCTCTTCACAACATTGTATGATCACTGCTAGAGCCTACTTACACATTTCCAAACTCGTTCACCACCGATACCGAAATCACCACTTTCCAGGGTTGCCCCTCTTAAAAAGCCCATCCCCGACATGTTGTTGCTACCGCTTCGACGGCATTGGCAGCGTAGTCCTCCATTTATCTTGTGCTTTAACCTTCGCGCCAGCGATCCTTGCTCGAATTACTAGTCCCTAAACTCTAGACATTGTGCGCTCACAGCAGCCGCTGCTTTATCACCTCCACGCACAGGCGTTCTGACAGCATCGGACGTCTATCTATTCTATGTTCATGGCTCCCTCTCCCTTGGAAACTGTGTGAACGCGCTCCCTCCACAGCAGTTTACGTAAACGAGGATTAAAGTTAAGCAGTTTTGCCATGGATAAAAAACCCAAATGGGAAATGAATTGCGAATTCTTGCTTAGCAGTGTTGGTTCCGCAACATGCGGAGGGATGTCTGCTCCGCCGCCTTGACAAATCTCGTGAAGAGCCGGCCTGTGCTCGCTGCCACTTTTTCCAGAGTAATGTCAAGCCGCATGACAGGTTCAATCAAATGAGCTCTGGCCTTCTCGATTGCCTCTGAGACACATTTGTGCGCGCAAGCGGACACTGAAATAGTCACGTTCGCCTGATCTCTGAGAGGAAATTTACCGAAGTTCCAAATTTATATCGAGCTAGCTGCCTTAAAATCTCAATCTTACTTACATACTGCAGGATTGACTCGTCCTCCACTAGTGTTGATTTCATTCAGTGTAATAACTACATCTTGCACAGGAAAACCAAGTATTGGTCCATTATGGAGAGCATTCTGACAGCCTTCATTTATGGCTTTTGAAGCTTCTGCAGAAACACTTGCGCGAATCGTGCGGTATAGTCCTAGCCGAAACCTGAATTTATATAGACATGAGCGGAAGTTGCCTCATTCCGGAAATATTGTCACTATTAGAGCTGACGAACTTGTCCCTCTGTGCGCAGTGCCTTACAAACTTAAGATCAGTCCCGGCGCTCGAGTAGTACATGGTCGTCCTTCCTTTGCATAGTACAGCCCCCAAGCTAGAGACTGTCCCACTCTATTCGTCTGCACAGCGAGCGAGAAGCGAGCTACAGCCGCTGTAAGTTCTAGTTCTAACGCCTGCTCAGTTGGACCGCCTTACTTGCTAGATGTCCTCCGACGGAGGCCACTCAGTTGTTCTTAGTTCGGGGCGGCGGGCATTGCTAATGCCCATGGATAATTCTGCTCTCCTTATTACAGTTTACTCACTGGAGGTATATACATTCAATTCAACTCATTTCGCGAGGTGAAACGCGTAAAAAGCACGAGTGACGCAATTTTCGTGATGCAAAACCTCGACGCACAAAACGTGCGCTACCGTAATCCCAAATTCAGACACCGCGTTGATAAAATTCCTTTTTCCTTCCAAGAGTTTTTCCTCTGCGTTTTTGTTGTTTTCTTTTTGTATTCTTTTTTGCACTGGATGATATCAACTACTGCGAGATGTGATAGAGAGATTTGTGAGCTAGGGGTTGCACAGAGACCGCAGGGAGGTGTGACTGTGTGAGAGCGATTTTGTTTATGTTGTTCTGGAGGGCGCGTCATCTTGCCTGTTTTCTTCTTTGGAAGATTTCTTATCATACTGTTTCATAATTGGAAAGCAGCTATCCATGAGACTTTTATCGCGGGAGCTGTCTTTAAATTCACAACGCGGTGACATGATGAGCGAGTCCATAAAGTATGGACAGTGAATAAGGAAATAGAAGGTGACACGGAGAAGAACATGAAAAACCAACCCCTTTAAACTTCCCACTCTTTGTCCTGGGCTCTATAGTAAGAGTGAGGGTGGCGCTGTGGACTCGCTTCTTCTCCTCCATGACGTCTTGGGCAGTGGCTGTCTGTGTGACAGGTTACGCCCACAATCTCCCGATAGGCTATCTGAATTGTTGTGATAAACGACTAAATTCTTCTTCGAAGATGGAAGGATACTGCAAATATAAGTGGGAAGAGAACATTCTGAACTATTCAGTGGAATTGCCTAGCAGTGGAATGCCTAGCAGCAGCAAGTCCACCGCTTCCCCTCCACCTTCATTCCGTATATATTACCGCCCCTGTGTCATTGATGCTTCTCCGTTTTTATTTAGCAAACACGTCAACTCAACTCGTAAAAGCACTTGCTTTTTTTATAATCATATAAATCGGACATTGGTGTCATTGCAGTAATCTTTTACTTCTTTTCCTTGAGTATTGACAGACAAAAATCAATAAAAAACACGTAGCGAACCTGCAGGGGACCAACAAATACGTTGAGACCATAATCTCGAACAAGTCGGTTTTTGATAATGTCCATGTGTAGCTCACCCATGGTTTCCACTACGGTCTGTCCCATTTCCGAGTCATACCGAATCCGAAGTGAAGGATCCTGATTATGATTGCTTTGCATATAACTGTGGTTAACGCCAGCGAGTACCGCGATTCGGAAACGTATCACAAGCAATCTGGAGTTATGCGGCAAAAATACGGACCACGGGGCGCGGATTCGACCCCGCATCTTCCGTCTTTTCCGTGCGAATGCGTTCCTATTACGTACGATCGCCACTCTTGATGACCACCTCAGCTCAATAGGCCTATTTGTTGCCAGTAACCTTACAGGCACTCACACGTTCAACGTGGATGAGCGGTTAGTCCTCTATTCCACTTTCCGATATCGGCAGTGAACCGCAAGGCTGAAGGCTTTTTACAAGTTTCAAGCTGATATTGTTTGTTAACTGCTGTTTAACGCCGCAGTACGCGATTCGAAAGCTATCACAAGAATGCTGAGTTATGGGCAAAAGTCGGACCACGGGCTCATCACGTTGAAGGACTGTGGGAAGTGCTGGTAAGGTTATTGGCACAAATAGCCATTGAGCGTGAGGTGTCAAAGGGGAGTGGCCTTCGGTAGCGTAATAGGGAACGCATTCGCACGGAAAGCGGAAGATGCGGGTTCGAATCCCGCCCGTGGTCCGACTTTTGCCCATAACTCAGCATTCTTGTGATAGCTTTCGAATCGCGTACTGCGGCGTTAAACAGCAGTTAACAAACAATATCAGCTTGAAACTTGTAAAAAAGCCTTCAGCCTTGCGGTTCACTGCCGATATCGGCTAAACCGGCTCATCACCGGTATTGAACGTAGTGTGAGTGCTGCTTAACGCGTGTAGTGGTCGACAAATAGCCATTGAGCTGATGTGGTTCAACAGGTCGGGCCTCCTCGGTAGCGTAATAGGGAACGCATTCGCACGGAAAGCGGAAGATGCGGGTTCGAATCCCGCCCGTGGTCCGACTTTTGCCCATAACTCAGCATTCTTGTGATAGCTTTCGAATCGCGTACTGCGGCGTTAAACAGCAGTTAACAAACAATATCAGCTTGAAACTTGTAAAAAGCCTTCAGCCTTGCGGTTCACTGCCGATATCGGCTAACCGGCTCATCACGTTGAACGTGTGAGTGCTGTAAGGTTATGGCACAAATAGCCATTGAGCTGAGTGGTCAAAGGTGGCTCTCGGGTAGGCGTAATAGGAACGCATTCGCGACGGAAAGCGGGAAGATGCCGGGTGTGCGAATCCGCCCGTGTCGCGGACTTGGATCGGCGAAAACTCAGGCATTCTGTGAGTGCGATGGACCGAATCCGAAGTGAAGGATCCTGATTATTTTAATATACAGACTTGTTCGCTGCAGACGCTGGGTCGCTTCATGGGCTGGGTTTGGCGCGGCGCCAGCCTGTTCTCTACCAACTGCAAAAGTTGGCAAGCCACCGCAGTTGAAGGAGCACAGACTGGCGAGGCACAAAACCTAGCCCTCCTAAAATCCTCCGCGTCAGCAGCGAACAAGACCGTAAGAACCAATGGAGTTCCTAAACTCCTTCTGAAAAAAAAACAATTTAAAAGCTAACCTCCACAGCGATTTCACTCAGCGCACGCTCAAACTCATGATTCGATTTCGTGGAAGGAGGTTCAATACAGCAAAAATAAACTGGTTCAGGGGAATCAATTCCTGAATCATGGCAGATTTTCTCATGCAAAATTTCACAAAGCATGTACAAGTACCTTTCAGCACAATGTTTTGACCATCAGTTATGACCTCCATCTGGTCACCATTTGAAGGTGATGGGGGATGTACATCATGGGCCAACTTCCTATGGTGGTCATGTAGAGCAGCTTTCTCGTCATGGTACAATGCGTGTCTTGCATGTGCAAGCTGATGGCTCACCGTTTCACTATAAAGATGAAGAGTTCCGCATGAAACATTTTTTTCTTTGTCGTTTTTTTCCAACGTATTCCGGACTGCACCAATGTCACTTGGCTCTCTAACTTCGCGCTGGATAAGC